CTACAACAACTCAATGGTGCTCTAGGGGGGGGGCGGGGGGTACCTTGGTTGGTGATTGGCTAATGGTTACACGAGACAAAAAATTGTAATGACATCATAAAGTGACCAACATCTGATCAGCTCATTTTCAGACAGGTTTTTATATAAATGGATCAGGACGAAAAGAGAGCAAATCTTTTTTCCTGAAACTTTCAGAATGTCTTTACACAGAAGGGACACATGTTTATGTATAAAATACATGGAAACGTGGATTTTGCATAATAGGTGACCTTTAACACAATAGACATATATCAACCTGTCATCAGCCTAATATGTAACACATGTCATGATGAAACACAGCCCTGGATCCTTTATTACAGTAGCCTAAGGATTCTTCTCATGTATGTTTCTCAATATTTTATATCTATACATTGAGAATAGTGGATTTTGAAGGCTCTGATTTGTTTTGGCTGAGTGTTGTTTTTGTCCTCTGCTGTAAGGTGCAGGAGGCCAGGCTGACTAGGGATGATGAAGCTCAGAAGAAATGTCTGCAGGACTACGACCTGATGCAGGAGAAGTGAGGACACACACAAAAATATATAAATATGTAACACTCAGCTTCTATTTAGTTCACTAATTCACCCAAAAAAGAGTCAGATGACATAACTCCTCCCCGACTATTGAACTGTCCCGGTCGTTTCCCAGGTACATCGTGGTGCTGATGGCCCAGTCCAAGATCTACTGGAACCGGGAGAACTTCCAGATGGTTGAGAAGATTTTCCGAAAGTCTGTAGAGGTCTGCAATGAGGACGACACCTGGAAGCTGAACGTAGCCCACGTGCTCTTCATGCAGAACAAGTACAAGGAGGCCATCGGCTTCTACGAGCCCATCGTCAAGAAGCACTATGATAATGTGAGTGCCTCTGGGCGGCCGCGCCACGAAGAACATGGAGAACATAAATGTGTGGAGGAGGGACACCATTATTTGTGCGAGATTAATTATTGAGAGTTAATGCATATCTACAATACCTATTAAGGCCATTGTAGGTCAAACTAAATCATGATTATGGAGCTGGTGTGAAAGTGGTGGTAGTCTGAGAGAAAAGTAGAATACGTCTTAATCTTAGGAAAAACCAAGTTGTATATTTTCTAAGATTAAATAATTAAATACATGAGAAAGAAAATCACTAAATTGCATCATGAAATTGGTAAATGTACACGAAAACAACTCCAAAATGCTTTAAGATTATAAAGTCATACATCTTAGTTAGTTTCTTTTTTGAGATTGAGAATTACATCTCCATATTTATGAGTTTTTCTCAATATGACCTTCATGGCCTTAATACTCCTTCATAAACATCAGACGCTTAAACAAAGTATTTTGAAGATAAAATGCGCACAATGCATGGGATCAGCCCCGATGTCAGAGTGAGGTTAGGACTAATCGTTGACAGTTTGCCTTTTTGTCCAGGTGGAGCAGTGTAACATTCAAGAGTGTCCCTGCAAGTGCAAACCCTCGGTAAAAATAGATGAGCAGCTCTGCGTCGATCTGCAGTGTTTTCTCAAATGTGTGCATGATATGAGTTTCATTATTTTCTGCTGTGTGGATTTTTTTATTTGGTTTGCAGTGCTGGTTTTGTTTTGAATTTGAAAATTATGATTTTCGTCCAATTTCAGAGAACTTCATTCACTCAGCTGAGGGTTCTAGAATGTTTTCTTTCCTCACTGAAAAATTAAACATTACATTACATGTCACTTATTAGACGAGGGGTGTCAAACTCAATTTCATCACGGGCCACATTAGCATTATGGTTGCACTCAAAAGGCCAGTTGTAACTTCAAGAAAGACTATATAAAAATACATATATGAATATTTAATATGTATAAAATAATGTATAATATTACATTATTGCCTCTGCATTGGATTATTATCGGACTGGGTAATAACTTCATAATTAACTACGTCTGAAAGCAGAAGTCTAAGGCAAATAATTGCAAGTCTTTTCAGTGAGAATGTCACAAAATGATTTTTTTTAAAAAGACAAATTCTGAAGAAAGAAAGGCAAAAAAAAATTTGGAGAAAAAAAGTGAATTCTGGGAAAAAGGCTAATTCTAAGATAAAAGGCATATTTTGAAGAAAAAAAGTCAAATTCTGAGAAAAAAGTGGTGTTTGAACCTGTGACCCCCTGATCCGAACACATACGCACAACCCACTGCGCCACACGATGATGCTAACACTTTAGCATCATCGTGTTCATGACGTTTTAATCATGTTCTATTCTAAATAACCTCAAATCAGTTTGTGGAAACTTGCATGCACCCTGGATTGGTTTTGAAGTTTGTTCAATTCTGAGTGTTGTAAATATATTGTAAAGTTAACAAAAAATGTGTGTGTTTGTGTGTGTCTGTGTGTCCCATTGTAGATCCTGAATGTGAGCGCTGTGGTCCTGGCCAACCTGTGTGTGTCCTACATCCTGACCAGCCAGAATGAGGAGGTACTGTTCACAGAGATGAACACAATTTAACATAAAATACTTTACTGTCATTTAGTACACCTTTTTATAATACTACTTTTAATTAATTATATTTCATAGGGATTTTACTTTCATTTTACTTCTATTCTTTGTGTCTCTGTATGGTAATAATGTTTGTCGCTTTATCTTCAGTATAAAAAGTCCAGTTTCCTCCTCTCGTTGTCTTACAGGCTGAAGAGCTGATGAGGAAGATCGAGAAGGAGGAAGAGCAGATCTCCTACGACGACCCCGACAAGAAGGTGTTCCACCTCTGCATCGTCAACCTGGTCATCGGGTGAGTTTACAGCTTGAAAAATCTGCTTTCACGTTGCTTATTAGGTTTCGCCAAGAAGAACCTCATTTAAAAATATTTCATGTGCAAAATATTTCATGTGCATGTGTATATACAGTATACAGTCTATGGTGTTAACTAGTACTGCGTGTTCATTGTATGTATTAGACTGGCTTTCAAAACTAATTTTAGCCCTGGAACCAAAAAAAGTTCCTTTACTATAAAGTTCACACTTATGGAGACCCAAAGTGTTTATCATCAAATAAACACATCAGGCATTGTTCAATAAATACTATCATTAATAAATACAGAAAAAATATGTTAAGAAAGAAATAATCTAATTTATGTTAAACCTGAGCTCATTTATCATGCAATCAGGATTCATCCTGATGTATCTCAGGTCCTTGTTCCTATATGCAGCAGTTATATATTCTTTTCATCACAATCTTTGTGTATAAATCAAAGAGCAGCAGGCAGAAACAACAGCTTGGCTAGGATACTAAGAGACTGAGTTACTTTTTGACGATTATCCAAATCTGTATAAGAAATCTTGCAATTTACGGTTTGCTTTTGAGCTTTTCCTGAAGCTTTTAACCAAGACATTTTCAGCAGATTACCAGTATGACAGTATCAACTGACCTAAGCAAGTTCCTTTCAAGGTGGAAGAAAAAGGAAGGAATGTCAACATATTATATAATGGTAAAAAGGAGCTTTTAGTAAGTATTGCTGTTCTGACTGAATTTGGTTTTTTTTCAGGACGCTGTACTGTGCTAAGGGAAACTATGATTTTGGCATATCTCGTGTCATCAAGAGCCTGGAGCCTTACAATAAGAAGGTCAGTCAGTTATTCCATTGTTCCCTGGGTTTCTTTTTTAGAAAGTTTGTAGCAAATGCTTTAAGAAAGGGATAATAAGCAACGTGTGAGACGGTCATTCATGAGAAAAGCACACCGACAGGGTGGTCGAAGCAGCGTCTATTCTCCTTAGCAACGGCCTGCTCTCCATAATAGTGGTCTGTTATTGAAAATGTAAAACCTCTGGAAGGTCCAAATTCACCAATCAGATTTGAGTATCCAACTAAGTCATGTAACAAAAACAGGAAACATTCAATACCTATTTTAAGGGAAATAGTTTGTTGTTTATTGTGCAGCAAGCAGTGTGTGAGTAATACACCATAAACACAACTACAAGAAAGTGCTCATTTAAAATACAAACATTCATTCTTTTGAACCAAAAATAACCATCTGTGCTGCAGCTGAGTCCACTGAAGCTCCAGCTGAGAACACAGGCTGTCATCCCGAGTGTTGCCCCCTCTCAGCCTTGTACAAATCCCCACCATAGACTCACATTCACTTTGAAATCAGAGAGGAGTCCAGGAATGTGAGCCTGTGGAGCCACATACATTCAACCAAGCAATCTGACCGCCATGTCTGAACTCCTTCCAACAGAAGGAAGAAATCCCTGCCATATATCCTTCTGTCAAACCCTAAATACCACCGAAACGGAGACACTGGCTTTTACTAACATTAAAGTCATAACCTTTCATTTTGTTTATTCTGCTGACAAAATCGATAGTGCTTTCGGACTCGATAGCGTGGAAAAAGGAATGCAGCTTCAGTTTGAACACATCAGTTAGCAGGATTAATAGTGATGAGATTATCTTTAGTGTCAGAATAATAACTTTAATATCACAATGGTGTAACAACTTTTTTTTTTAACCCCAACATAAATAAATAAATATATTGTGTGTGTGTGTGTGTGTGTGTGTGTGTGTGTGTGTGTGTGTGTGTGTGTGTGTGTGTGTGTGTGTGTGTGTGTGTGTGTGTAGCTGGGAACAGACACATGGTTCTACGCCAAGCGCTGTTTCCTCTCCCTGCTGGAGAACATGTCCAAACACATGGTCATGCTGAGGGACGCCGTGGTACAGGAGTGTATCCAGTTCCTGGAGCACTGCGAGGGTAAGCAGCATACACACACACACACATCTGCAAAAGTGCTGGCCTGTGACAATAATTGATGTTTCAGTTTGCAACAAACACTATTTATCCTTTGAGAGAGCACATGCAGATCCATATGTCTTCACATTTCATAAATGACTGTTGCCAGTCATTTATAAAACTGAAATCTGGCTGAAAGAGGAAGCAGATGTAGCCTCTATCCCTGGATATTTTCTGCAGCATCACCATCCAGTCAGAGTTGGTTGTATACTGAACATCATTATTTTCTTAGCTAAGCGACAGTGAGCATTTCCGACTAACAGACCAGACACAAACCTAACAGTACTTCCAGTGTCGGCCAACATTCTGGCAAAGCCTGAAAGTTAAAGTGTTAGCCTTTCAGAATATAAAGAGCTATTCATTTATTGTCAAAGGATACTAGAGCTTGTCTTCTTGTGAGATGGATTTATTCATGTGGACTTACGACAAAACAAGTATCTGCTTTCTCAAGATAACAAGGTCATTTATCACAAGAAAACAACTTTTGTTTTCTCAAGGTCATGGGATTGTTATGGAGAACTCTAAAAAGTTATATAGGAGACAGACCTTTTGGGGAAGATATATAACCCACTTCTTCTCATATACTAGTGAATTTCATTTGAATTTGTAAAACATATATATATTTTTTTTTACATATCTGAATAAAATGACAGTGATAACAACAATAAAAAATAGGATGCATAAACATAATTATTTTTACAATATATGTAATAGGACCTAAATAACAAATGGTATGTTGTCGAGTGTGAGGTAACATCAGTGTGTCTCGCCTGTAGTGTACGGTAAGGAGGTCACGGCCATCATCGAGCAGCCTCTGGAGGAGACCCACACCCACATCGGAAAGAACACCGTCACCTACGAGGCCAGAATGCTCAAGGCGCTTTTCTACGAGGTCATTGGCTGGAACAAGTGACAGGAGTCACAGCAACACATGAGGTGTTTTACCACTTTGAAGGAGAATGGAGCAAGGCACAGAGACAGCATAACAAGGCCTGCTGTGCAAGCTCCTTATTCCTGGGAATCAAATCCAGTTCCCCGTTCTGACTCTCGTCAAAACACACCCCAGGTGAAGCTTTTATTTAGAAATGGAGTGAATCCGGGGGAGTTTGGGCAAAAGGATGGTTGCAGCAGATGTGACATCAGTTTATGTTCTTTCTCAATGTAATGGCGTCTTTGCTTCACTTCACAGACTCTCAGACATTCATATTTATTTAGTACTTTTATTATCAGTACTACTTTTTTACCGCTATAGAGGATATCATGTGTATATATATATATATAAAGCAGACTTGTTTATTGTGTTTACATGGAATACGTGATACATTTTGTACGTAAGTTCCTCTACAGATGTCCTCTTTGGTCAGTGCTGGTTTTACAGCTGCCTGCTAGCTTTATATTCAGTAGATACAACAATTTAAAGAAAATAAAGATAATATTTTTGGAAGAAAAAACTGTCTATGATGTTTTTCTTTAAGTGAATATTTCATGGCCTTTTGCTCCAATCAGTCACACATATTTAGAGACAGATCCTGCAGACACAAAGCTCAAGGAAACAACGACTAAAGGTCAGTATATTTGAATGATAGCCAGATTATTGAATATCATCTCAAATCGTTTACACCTTTCCCAGGTCTGAATTGGGATGCCAGCATTGCCATTTTAAAATGTTCAGAATAAGAAAGTTATCAAATGTAACAATTTCCTATAAGTCCTCACACCTTGTTATACTTTTATCCATCCTCCAAAATCAGCCGGTGTCTAGATTCTGTCTTAATGATGACGGAGCATCTGATAAATATACACAGTGCAGAAAATGTATCAATCAAAAATTGTAAACGCCTATTATTATAATCTTTTATTCAGATCATTCATTTATAGCTCATAATACAAAGCCAAAAGTACAGCATCTACACACTCTGATGCAGTCGGGGATGTTATGCACATTTACACAAGTTGCTTTGTGACCCGCCAAAAAAAATAAGACTGAACAAAAAGTAAAACAAGCGCATTAATAACAATGTCAGAAGTGTAAGAAGTCAGAAGTTAGATTTAGATGAAGGTCAGAGCTTTGTAGTATTAGATTATACTGAACATGCTAAACTTTAGCCTCAGGTGTGCCTAAACTACTAGTATGAACTTATTGTTTACCCCTCATCTCTGAAGCAGATCATTATTAGGTACCGGTCACCGCTAAGAAAATCCAAATTGGGGGGGGGGGGGGTGGCCGTCTCGGAGGCCGTTCAGGAGATTGGCCTCTTGGTTATGTCCTGTTCTGCCAGGTAGTAGTTCAGGTATCCTCCCAGAGCGCCCACCGCCACCGCCGTCATGTGACTGGAGCAGCCGTCTGAGGAGTCACATTCAAAGTGAAGCAATGAGTGGGAACAAGTTATCATTATTATAAAAATGAAGAGAAGAGCCAGAAACAGGAAATGATAACACAAAAATACCATAAGTACAGTCGATTCTGCAACTTTCATTTGAATTCAAACTTTTTATGAAGGTCAACACATACCAGCAGTAAAATTACTTCACATTAATTCATTTTGATTTTAAACCAAAAAAGTGCTGATAATAATAATAAAATTAAAAAAGGAGCAAGGTCAGTCACACTGGTACGGGATCAAGAATCTGATAAAAGCTGTCTTCTTTGTATTCGGCAGAAAGTTAGCTTTGATTAGTTATTTATTTTTTCTTCAACTTTCACAGCTCAAATTGCAATCATTTTCTATCTATTAGACTTTAATATGATATAACATGCGAGTACCTGGAAGTATCTTCTCCCTCCTCTTCACTCTCCGGTGAGGCTGCAGCTGCTCCAGCAGCTCGTCTCCGATGATCTGAGACATGATGCTCTCTGAGAAACAGCAGGTAACATCTCTCAAGTAATAATACTATCTCTACATTTACTAATATGTTTAACCTCCACCAGACAGGATGGATAATTTGTAAACTTTAACGGAATAATTCAACCCCAAAATAATTTCATATACAACATTAACCCCATGTAACCTTGGATACTTAAAAAAAAAACTAAGAAAAGTATTGAATTGAAAAATAAAAAGGGAGTGGCGTTTAACAACAGCACAACTGCCGTACATGAAAACAAAAAACTCTCATACTACTAGTAACTAGTGCAGTATAATACAAGTCCCATTTATCCAGTCAATGCTTAATACTTCACTAGCACATTGGATTTTTAACAAAAACTGCACTTAAGTAAAAACAGTACTCGAACAGTAGACTAGAGTATACAAATGGTGATTCTTCGTGTGCAGTATTCCTTTTACTGAAGAGATTAAGCTTTAACATGTACAGTACTTTGACAGTAACGCTACAGTACCTGGAGATAATGAGATATTTTCAATTCAGTTGCATTTTAAAACTTTCTTTTTAAAACACATACTGTCTCTCCCGAAGCAGCCCGCTTCCTCGTCCTGCAGCCGGAGGATGTGCTGCAGCCAATCAGCTTTGTAGAAGTCGGAGAAACCAGACAATCCACAAATCAGGACTGTTGAAGAAGAGCAGAGGAACTCAAGATAGTCCACTATATAATATGCAAAATATATGCAGTTTGAAATATGTATAGGAAACACATGATGTAATACACACTACACGCAAACATTTTCATCTGAATGTCCAAAATACTGACATACTTTTAGCCTATTAGATATTTGTAAGAAATTGTAATAGATGGTGTACTGTATTGGATCTTGAGTTAAGGCAAAAAACGTGTTTTGTGAGGTCGAACTGTCCATTGACCTTTGAGCAGCAACATATAATCTGTTCCTCCTAGTCTAAGTTTACATTTTGCTGAATTTGAAGAACATCCCTCAAGGCTTCCCGAAGATGTCGCATTCACACGAATGTGACAAAAAGAATAAAGGAAAAAATTTAAAATAATATACTCACTATTTTCAATGAAGATGTCGACCGTCTGCTCGGTGATCCCATCCCTAAAGATGTCCTGGTTGGCCTTCATCATGTTGGAGCAGTAGATCTTCTGGTAGCTGCCCTCTGTCATGTTGGCGCGGGACTCTCTGGTGTCTCCTTTCAGCAGGTTAGTGCAGCCTCTCTGAGACCCACACACACAGCAGGTTATTAATAGTGATAATAAATTATTCATTTTTTTATTTTAGCTTCTGCTCAGAACTTAGTGCATTTGGAGGTGATGGTTACCAATGATTTTTGTTTTGTTTGGGAAAGGTAGGACCCAAAAGCATACTACAAAAAAAAAGTAAGTTGGTCTAGAAAAACAAAAGCGAGCTTTATTTTAAAAGCTGATTGCAAATACACAAAGGAAGCACAAGAAATATATAATACAAAAAAGCTGACGAAGACTGACATGGAGGGAGACGGGAAAATCAAACAATGAACCGACACCGAACACAGGAAGAGACAAGACTAAATACAGGGAGGGGTAATCACAAGATGAGAAACAGCCGGGCAGGGGAGGAGAAACACAAGGGCAACAGGTGAACACAATCAGACAATTAGACACACCAGGGAAACTAACGACGGGGAGGAAAACACAGGGAGAAGGACCAGACAAGAAAGAAGGAGGAAAACATGACAGGGAGAACAGAATAGCAAAATAACCCCACAACTAGACACAACAAAACTCAAACCCTGACATAAAACCCACCTCAAGGGGACGGATTCCAGACGTCCCTACTAGAGATGTTAAGATTCACCGATTCGCATCGGTGCACCGGCATAAACGTTCAAGATGCGAGTGCGCCGGTTGAAAGAGAGCACATCGGCTACAGTTCGGGTTGAACTCGCAATGCATCGATTGTAGCGTCTTTGCATTGGTACAAAAACTATTCATTCATATATTATCCCCTCATCCTGTCAGTACTCAGCAGAGACGATCTTTGATCTTTGCTTCGCTCTACGGAGGCCGAGAGTCCCAGGTATCAACACACATGAAGTCGAGGAGAAGGAGAAACACTACGGAGGCCGAGAGTCTCAGTTATCAACACACATGAAGTCGAGGAGAAAGAGAAACACTACGGAGGCCGAGAGTCTCAGGTATCAACACACACGAAGTCGAGGAGAAAGAGAAACACTACGGAGGCCGAGAGTCTCAGGTATCAACACACATGGAAGTCGAGGAGAGAGAGAAACACTACGGAGGCCGAGAGTCTCAGGTATCAACAGACACGAAGTCGAGGAGAAAGAGAAACACTACGGAGGCCGAGAGTCTCAGTTATCAACACACACGAAGTCGAGGAGAAAGAGAAACACTACGGAGGCCGAGAGTCTCANCCTTATCTTAAAGGTCCCCTATTAGACTGTTTTTCATCAATATATTATAGGTCTCAGATATATACAAACATGTCTCTGAAGTGTTTGGCTCCAAACACCAAACAGATCATTGTAGCATCCCATAATCCCCTCTGTTTCAGCCCTGTTTCAAAAGTGCTGATTCTCTGTCTGTTGCTTTAGATGAAAATATGGTGTTTGGAGCCAAACACTTCAGAGACATGTTTGTATATATCTGAGACCTATAATATATTGATGAAAAACAGTCTAATAGGGGACCTTTAAGATAAGGGCAAATACACATGCGTACAGGACAATGCATAACAGATGAGAAAGAACAAAGGAAGAAAACAACCTGCTTGGCCAGTTTCCGTAACTGCTCCGTCAGTTTGCCGTTCATCTCATCAAACTTCCTAAAAGCCTGTGGAATAAACAGACAGTTTATTGATGGATGAACAAACACAAATAAACAGATTTTGGAGTAAATTACAAAATGACAAGGTTGGCTTCAGCCCAGATAATATAATGAGGTTCCTGCACACTGAGAATTAAAGCTTAATGTAATGTGGTGACTATAAGCTGTTTTTTATCACCTCCTTAAACCTTTATTCAATCCCAAGTAGTTTTGAAATCCAAACTTTTCAACATTTGATTAAGCTGTCCTTCTTGGGATTATAAAAGCAATTTTTTATGTAAGTAAAACAGCAAGTTTAAATGTATTTATCACAGTGTTCTCCCTTTACAGTTACATAAAGGGTTGTTTGACCTCTTGGGGGCAGTGGAACAAGCTTTAAACCCAAATGTGACACATTATTAACTGATAATAGTCTTATGGTGAATATGTGTACTGTATATGCAATATTGTGCTTACAATAGCTCAGTGCTGCTGAGGTTGATGGGAAATACTGTAAGCATGCAGGAAAGCAAATGTAAAAAGTAGCTTTTATTGTAAAAAGAAAATGTGTAGTACCTCCTCTGGTGCTGTCTGACAGGTCAACAGGGCATCAAGAAACTCATACATGTACTGGAAAGGAAACAACAACAACAACACTTTTTCATAAGTGTAGGCAAACAGAAACAGAACATGTGAGTTCCTGGAGTGTGAATTAGGAACTGAAAACACATGGATTGGTTCAGAGTGCAACTTACCGGTGTGAGGAACTTGTATGTGAGATGGGCGTTCTCTGCCAGGACGTCAGCAGCCAGGTCAAAGTACTGAGAATGAGAGAGAGGACATCATTGACATTAATACTAACCTCTCTTTCAGCCCTCTGTGTGTTTTGAGCTCTTTCCACTAACACTCACGCCACATGACTCAAACTGAAAACAGTGCTCCTCCCCGCATGGACCCTCACTGTGTGCCGTATGGAGGAAACTGCTGACACAGTCCTCGAGTCGAATGATAATTGATGATAATTTGATAATTAGCATAATTAGTAATGGCCTGTTTGATAGATGAAGGTAATGTATGTTTTTCAGTCTCAAAATATAGTGTGGAATTGGTAATGAAACAGCTTTTGGGGGGAAAGAAACACATGTTTTCAAACTGCCACAGGCTAGGTGGGAAAGTACTGTGCAATAATTAAGCTCAGAAGTCTTTGAGCAAAGAATTGATTTCTCAAGCCTACTTAATACATGACAATAGCCTGCAACCTGTTGTGTACAGTACCTCATGTTTGCAGTAGAGCAGCAGCAGGTTCCCGAAGGTGACGGGGGGGAAGGAGGGTTGCTGCAGCAGGAAGGCCAGCTTCTCAAAGCCCTCCGATGGCTTCGTGTCCATGTTCAACAGAGCCTGGTTGTGTAGCGTCACGGGGTCCAGCTCCTGAAGAAACACACACATCACAGTATAAGCAGCATAAGTATCAATATCTAAGAATTGGAATTATAACCTGGAATTGCAAAGAATAGTGGATATGTAAAAATACAGAATATTCTGTATCTAGCCTCTCAGATTTGTAGATGTTCTGCTGTGTATGTTTTTTTTTATCATGGTAAAGTGACTATCTTTGGGTTGGTCCGACAAACTGCAGTAAGTATTACATTCCACTAGGGAGCACTGGTTGTTCATTTCTCTCTCTGTATCTCAGGATAACTGGACATTGATGACTCAGTGGCAGATCCACATTTGGCCAAGGACAGTGCACCTCTGTACATTAATGTAAATGAAGCCGTTTGAAGACAATACAAGTATTATCATTACCTCCATGTAAGCCTTCACACCCCTGCCTCTGTTCTAACGTTCTATTCATCTCTGCTTTCTGCAGGCACAAACACACACACACACACACACACACACACACACACACACACACACACACACACACACACACACACACACACACACACACACACACACACACACAGGATGTGAATGGCTGAGAACAGTTACCTCCTCTGATCGGGGGGGCATGTCTGTCAAAGCCTCCTGAGATCCTTTCGCTGCAGGGAAGCAAAAGAAAACAGAAAAGGAAGCGGTTAGTTTTAGTCTTTTACCGTCAGTGTTCCAATACATGCTTTTGTTTGTAGATCCCAAAAACGTAATTTAATCAAACTCAACTTGACATTCAGTCATATTCCTCAAGAAGAACCAAATTGTCTTGAGATTGTCTTCCCTTTCCCAATCATTCCATCGCGACAACCATTCCTTACTTACTTGTAAACATCTTTGTAAAATGTATTTCTAAAAATGTTTGAATTACTACTTAGTCTGGAAACTTAAAATAATCATGCTCTCTATTTGTTTCTATCTTTGTATGCTTCTTCCTAAAGTATGACCATTGATATCTAACATGATGTATCTTTACTAGCCATGTTTAGCTTCTAAACTCTCCTTCAAACTGTTCAGACTTTGTATTCAAAATATTTTTTAAATGTCCGTCTTTTAGGGATTTGTCATTTTTCTTAAACATGTGTACTGTAAATGTGCAAATAAATAAATAATCAACATTTAAACGGGCCATATGGATTTTTCTTGAAGACAAAACAAGTGTATATCTTTGAAATGATATATATGCTTAAGGCTTAGCAAATCATAAAAGCCATATCTCTGGATATTTAAATGTATCCAGCTTATAGTCTTCCTCTTTCATGCATCGTGAAAGGATTGCCCTTACTGCCGTCAGCGGTCCAAACGCTTTGCAAGGAACCTTTAACTTGATGATACTTGAAGTAGAATACACACTGTAGTAAATGAGGTCACAAAGCAATTACAAATATGAAGACTTGCAATAGATTAAATAACTGTTGAATGAGTTTTGGAGAGTAGCCAAATCATTCTTTCTATGAGGAATCAAGGTTATTTTGTGAAGATGTAGCAATATTCTCCATCCTGCTCGTTACATATGAGAGTCAGAGGCTCTGAGTGAGGGGCTTACAGTTCTTCAGCTGGTATTCGATGGCAGCTTTGAGGTTGAAGGCTTCGATCAGGGCGGTGTGATGCAGCACCAGCGTGTTGCCCACACTGTGCACGTCGATGCCCTCAGTCGTCATCCCCACGCTCAGCTCTGATGCATTAGGACAAAACAATTTGTTGGAAGATCGTGAAATAATGTAGGAAGACTAAAGATTCCACTGAACTCTTTTTGCTGAATGAACACAGATGAAATAATGGCAGTGTCTTTGCGCTGTGGTTCTACCTGGATGTTCTCTGATGCCTCTCTCTATGATCTCTCCGATGTATTTGAGGGCCTGAGCGTAGTTCTTCACGCTGTAGAAGCACAGGGCGATGTTGTATGACAGAGCTGAGAAAGAGGAGGGCAGAGATAACAGGATGACATTGAAATGCTTCCTGTGGAGAGGATTTCAAACCCAATCTCTACTTGATAGCCTTCAACATTTCTCTTATCATATTATTCGCCTCCACCTCCCCCAGCTCGTAAGAACTCTTAAGGTGTTCCCTTCCCCTTAATGTTGTGTTGCTCTGATTAACGACTGCAAAACATTTGATGCAAGGTATATCAATCATTGTCAAACATGGTGTACATTTCATCTGGAAATGTCACCAACTGAGCAATAAAGAGCCAAGCAATGGGTTTATAGTGGGACGATGGTATTAGGTCAGTTTACAAGTCCAGTAAAGTAAACGGTGCAATCTCGCAAATGTGGGCTCAAGACCTTGGAGAGGAGATATATGAATGTACAGGGACAGTAATATGGGAGTATACTAACAGCATGTCCATGTAATAGAGCAAGGGAACTACTACTGCCTTTACATATTGCCTCACCTCAAGAATAGGACGGAGCAAAAAAAGTCGACTGTCTATTAAATAGTAAGAATGGAGTTGGGAGTTTTTTGATTTACACTATTTGGACCTGTGCACACATCTAGGACATCTCAGTGAAAGTACTTTCACAATTAAATGGGATTTTTAATCAAGAATTCGATTTGAATCCAGTATGCCCTCTGCAAAGAACACCTCACCTACAACTCAGGGATGAGGGAAACTTTGAGATTTTAGCCTGTGCAGACCATTTACATGCATAACAACCTATATATCACAATACAGGAAAAGGAGTATACATGTTGTGTGTGTGTGTGGGTGTGTGTGTGTATATGTGAACTACCTGGCACGTATCCCAGCACTTGAAGGGCAGACGTGAACTTCTTGCAGGCCTCCTCGTACTTCCCGTCCTGGTAAAGCAGACAGCCCGTATTGTAGACATAGTCCGGGTCTTCCTGGGGAAGCTGCTCCAGGAGTGACTACACACACACACACACACACACACACACACACACACACACACACACACACACACACACACACACACACACACAGCAGTTAGTGGAAAGTAGATGGTTGGATGTGTGTGTGTTGGCAGCAGATAGTAATGGTATAATTCATATGCATTAACAGATAGTGTGAGCGCCCTCGTCACCTTGGCAGCGGAGTAATCTTCCTCACAATATTTGATGCAGGCTTGTAGCTTGATCATCTGTGGAAGAGAGAAAAAGAAAGAGAGAGGGGCAAAGGTAAGTGCTGGTTTGACTTTGGGGAATAAGAATCAAGCAATACAATTAAATACCAACTCTAATCCAAACATCTATTATTCATTTGTAGCATCTTGAACCAGTTTCCCCATGATTAATTCACACATGTTCTGTGGATCATGTTTCTACTTGACCCATCATATAATTCTTAAATGAACTTATAGGGGACATATTGTGAAAAATATGCTGTTTTCAGTGCTTGTGCACGTGCACTTGGGCATCTGGGAAGACTTTGAAATATCACATTTGTTGTGATAACATGGGATTAAACTCAGATTTAGACTTTAATCCTCCTCTTATATCACATTAGATTATACGTCTCTATCTGAGTATCTCCAAACATGACCTCTTTTGCACATTTTTTTCACAAGTCAGATGTTTAGTTTCCGTTGTGTTACCCCACAGCGATACATCAATGTGTTAATAGACATGGGGGTGACAGACAGTCTTAAAATACATGAATGCATGTCAACATTTTTAAGATTATAACTTTAAATTCCATTTGAAATCAGCATTATTTTGATTCCTGGTAATAACATGTGTTTCATGTTGTTGGCTGTACACAGTTTGACTTGCTTGATTTGATTAGGTGTGCATTAAAAGGCCCATATGTATTTGTTAGAGCACTTCTGCTGAAAAACTGCTTCCAGTGATGGATGTAACAGATGGAGTTGGCAGAGTGAAACATTCAGAGTAAATAAGGTGGATTTGTTCTGAAATCGCACATTTGATGCAGTGATGGTGCACCTGGAGCCAAACTCCATAAAAAATGCAGTGCGTCTTAGTGGAGCAACATAAAAGCTGGCATTTCATAGAAACAAGGTTTTCACATCATCTTTTTCTTTTCGTCTAGCAGTGTGTACAGGCGGTACCTTGATGTGACTGCTGGGGTTATCAAGCACAAAGGAAGCCTTTGTAGCCTCAGGGTAAGCACCAGCTTTGTAAAGAGACTGGGCGTAGTACACCTTGTACTCCTCCACCTCTGGGTGCAGCTGGGTGAGCTGCTCGTAGCACTCTGCAGAGTTGGTGAAATCCTGGATGTGATAGTAGCAGTAACCCAGCAGAGAGAGTGCTGCCCTGGACTGGGACACAAAGGAAAGCAAGAGGGAGTGAAACTGATGGTCGTCTGCAGTGTGTGTTAAATAAGGGTTTGTGGTTAAACAATAAAAAACACCAATTGTTTTTTTCACAAGACATACAGTAGCAAAACCGAAAGACACCAGGAAGTATGACAGCATCAAATATACTTTACCTTTAAAAAAAGAAAGAAGGTATAAATCATAAGTTAGCTGGTAATTTAAATCAGTGTAACCCATATTTTTGAACCCATCTGTTTTTAAATATTAAGTCGCAAACATTGCAATTATGATGTGCTGATTTGGCAATTCCTAGTATGAATCATCGTTGAATTGTTCAGATGGTATCTGAAATAAACTTGTAGGGACAAATCCTATCCTGCCTGAAGCCCAATGTGACGTCTTTAAATCCTTTGGTTTGTCCGACAAACGCTTTAATACTTCAGTCATTCAGATTACAACAATATCTTAAAGGTGGGGTGTGTAATTTATTTCGGATACACTTTTTGTTATATTCCATGGAATGCTCTTATCTCCCCAATAGCAATGAATATATTAAATGCTTTGACAATAAATACATTAAAATATTTCATTTGTGGAAGACGTTTTTGGCAGTTTGCTTTAAGAAATGGCACAAACGGCTCTCAAACATATTAACAGCAATTATTTTTTTACTGGTTGATTAATGAACCTATCATTTCAACAATTTTACAATAAGAGCTTTAACCGGTTTTCCAATTGAACTTCAACAGAAAAATAAGCAAATCCTTGTGGATTCAATTACATTTGATGCCCATTATTTTGAATCAAATATCTCTGATATCCTGAAAAGAAATGTTCTCTCTGTTTTTTATATTAACAGAATCCCAATGAAGGTAGTCCTGAAAAACTGGATTGCTTTAAATATTTCCAAATCAGAAAGAATAAATCCCTGAAGCTAAATAAATGATAATGTTTTAAAAAGCTTTGAAAATGCAAAATATATATATATCAAAATACTCGGAAACATGGGGGACAGATGCAAATAAGTCAATGTCACTATAAAACAATGAGGGTAGAGGAGTTAAAAGAAGGAAAAGGAAGGGCTACTAATTCATTATTCACTTATAATTTAAAAAAATGGTTGGCTCAGATTTGTATATTGGTTTAGAGGGGGGTGGAATGACAAGATGCATATATGTTGATGTAGTCTTACATTTTTTTACATGTATATTTTGTATGGAATGTTTTGAATGACAGAATACTGAAATCCACCTACCTTCGTGTGTTTTTGAAGTTGGCCGTTTAGGATATGGATTGCTTCCACATACTGTCCGTCTTTAATCTGAAATATATGGAATTAACTTTGATGTTCCTATTAATAAACAGTATTAACATTATAGACAGGACAAACGTTACTAACAAAAAATGCCAGTGAAGAAGAAAATAATTATATGGTAATGTTCCTTTAAGTATATCATGTTTGTCTCATGTGTAACGTTACACTAAACTGCAGCAAAAATGAGAGATTATTTAGAGTACAGTAGCGTAATGTTAACAGACAGTAACACAACACACTTGTATTGAATTAGTTTGGTCGTTTTAATTGTGTGCCGAAGTTAAAATCATTCCAGCACAATTCCGGAAACGTGTTATATGTCCAGTATATGTTTTTCAGTAAAATAGAAACACACAAATGAACAACTTTTGAGTTTGGATTATAGTTTACCGTTATAGTGATGCTAGCTTACCACTGAGTTGGAAAGCTAACCTCGACTTTAACAACACTAATCTCACCAGTTTGTAGATGGTAGCCGTGTACTCTCCGTCTTTTATAGTTGTCATGGCTGCCAATAAGTCGTTTTAACGATAAGTAACTGCTTCTAACAGTGTGTGTTCACAAAACCCTACAAAATAGCATCGAGCTAGCTTCTGTTTAGTGGATGGATGAAACGCATTGGGGCTGTTACTAAGCAACAGAACAGAGCGGAAGTGGAACATTTGACAGACCTGAAACACAGCCAATCATAGAGCAGGATGAAGTTACAGTGGCCAACCCTCCGTTTTTTGTACCCAAATCTTTATTTAGCAGTTGAGCAGAGAGATACAACCAGCTATACTTTTATGAACATCATATCTCCTCCGGTGTTATTTACAATTTCATGCAGGTTAGTTTTATTATCTTATTAGATCGTTTATGCAGCATTAATGTTTACTATTCATTTATTAATATGACTATTTTTTATACTGCAGACAGGATTTACAAAATAAATATTTGGAGAAACAGTAGAACCTTTGAAACATAACCTTAAACAGTGGATATAATCCTCAAAAAAACAATAATTGCAATAAAAATACGAGTTTATTCATGAACATTAGATGAAAAAACACTTTAAATACATTAATTTCCATTAGGAGATATAGATATTCCTTTACATCTGTAGTAGGCCTATAGCTGTAATGGAGAGTGTGTGATTCTTTTGTAATTAGCACCAAATTATTTAAGGCACACCTGATGGCAATCAAGCAAATTAGACCGAGGGTTATGCTTATGCCAATCGTGCCAACCACATAGCTTGCAAGAAAAAAAGAAAAAAGACAAGAATATGAATATATTTTCTTTCTTTCTTCCTTTCTTCCTTTCTTTCTTTCTGTCTTTCTTTCTCAGCACAAGCACATTCTGGTCAAAACCACCAATGATCTCATTTGCATTTCTGACAGAGGTACAAACAGGATAAACTGACCGAAGTGCTGGAGCTTCGCCTCAAACCTCAACCACACTATGCTGACCACCGGGAGGCCATAATGACGGGGAAGTGGTAGATGCTGTATGTGTGTGTGGGTTTGAAAGTGAGAGAGTGTTCTTTTTGTGAATATGCATGTGCATGCATGCTTCTGGGTGTGTGTTCTCTCTATCCTTCTGCCCTTCCTGCATGCCTCTCACTGCCTCTGTTTGGACTGGAACTTTGCAGAAGGAGCTGCGAATCAACAGGTACACTCTACTGATCAACAGGTATGTGCAGTGAACAGGATTTGTATTGATCAAAGTTATTTAGGCCAAATTATACAGAAAATGCAAGGGGAAAAAAATGATTTCGGTCTGAAGTTTCAGTTTAATTTTATTAACACAAAGGTCAAGAGTTTTTGCAGAGGGAATTTTGATATCTCTTTGCACCACTCCGTGTTTTTAGTAATTAAATGCTGTATAAATCAGGCTCAGGTCCGGGGGAGCATGCCCCGGTCCACCCCCCACATATAAAAATAGCACTTTACCCCTGCTTACACCTATATGCCGTGAGCTGATTATCGAGCCTTCCTTGTAACAAGTGTATATATACTGTGTATGTGCGTGATGTGTTGCAGTAGAAAATTCCACTGTAGCGCCCGGTAGATTAAGGGAAAACCCTAAATGTTTGAGCACCCTCTGTGAAACGTCAAGCTACCCCACAGCACCCCCAAAAGAAAATCTCTGGCGCCGCAACTGCTTCTGAACCGGATGCTTTTTTCGTTTGTTCAAATAATGGCCTTTAGATATTGTGAAGTCATACATACTCACTTCTTTTGAATGGGATAAAACCCTTAACTATAGATATCACCATAAAACGTTGATAATTTACATTAAAAGGACTATCTTGTTATTACAAGTTTTTGAAATGTTATTTTTAAATATAAATAATTAAGCACTGTATAATGTTGACTATTGGTTAATTTAGGAGGCATGTACAGAGACATATAGACAAAGTTAGCAAAATAAACAATTAAATGTGAATTTTAGATTTTTCCTTTCCTCTAGTCTGAAAGAAGACATTCTATGGAAGCAAAATATTGTCAACTATAGCACTCAATACATATTTTTTTATGAGCAATTTTGCTTCTTTGAATGAACATATGTTGGTTTTCATGCTGCATCAATGTGCACTTTTAGTGTAACATGCTTGAGATGAAACGGAATATGACTCCTTTTTTAATGTTGAGCATGAATTTGAATGAGGCATCTGCCGTTTAAATACTGAATGCATTTGGGAAATTCTGTAATTATTCTGCGTGCCTTCTCTCGCCGCAGGGCCTAACTTATTTCATGGCTGCCAGATTGAGCGCGGTTTGAGTTGATGAGATTTTGGTTGCTCAGGAAAGAAAAGCTGTGGGTTTAAGAGACCGGCAGCAGAGAGAGCTATAAAAATATAGCTAGAATATTTGTGGTTGTTAGTGTGTGCATACCTGCAGGGTCAGTCAGGGTTTATGTGTGTTTAATTAACTTGTGAGATGGTTCATTCTGCAGTGATGACTGCAAACAAATTGACATATCCCCAGTCGTGGGGCATACAGTGTGATGCGTTAAAGGAAAATACTGGTAATCATCAAAAAAGAATAAAAATAACACTTTTTTAGTCGGTCTCTCAATATGTTTTTTATTTCTGCCTGTGGCTCTCAGATTAAAGCCCATTGGTTCAAAAATAAAGCTGAATCTATAAAACAGAACACTTTAGAATAAACAAAAATAAATGACTAAATCTGTAATTGAAATGTCTTGTACGGTCAGTTTTCTGGCGTGAGCTCAGCTGCAGGTCAGTCTCTCAATTACATGGATTTAAACACAGCTGTATAGTCTACAAGAGCCTCTGTGTATTATTGGAGTGATGAATGTGTGGGTGTGGAATACACATAGGTTTGATGGGGCAGTTGCTACTCTGCATGTCTCTGCAGCTCTCAGTTTTTCCAAGCCTCCCTTTTTGTGTTTGAATGCTGTTGGCCTCGCTCCCTAGCTGAGAGTTCAGCCTCAGGGTATTTTGCTGCTGTTCCTCCCTCTGAAACGCAAGGAAGACTCTAAGAAGTTTGCTCTCAGAAAAGTTAGATTTCCTTTTTCTCTGCATTATCACGATTGATAGCCACAGCTGTGATAAAGCCATACAGTGTTCAACACAGTGCTGAGAAGAGAGTAATACCTGCAGCATGCTGACTACAGAGCAATAGTTACAGATGAAAATAAAACCTGGCACACTGAAGTCAGAGAACATCAGGCATGGAAAGCAAAATAAAAGAGAATTTAGAAAAGTGCACCCTTTAGAATTTAGAAAAGTCCACCCACGTGCTGAAAAGTGCTATATAAATAAAATTGCCTTGCCTTGCCTTGTATTCATAAAGTGGAAATAATAAACATACCAGCCCTTCCTCTAAGCCTTAGGCATTTGAGGATGCAATGCATGATTTAGTGAATTGCTACAGTGCCTAATGTGGGCTCAGTATTGCTATTAAAAACAAACAAACAATCAATCGTTTTAGTTTAGCAAGATCTAAGTTGTTTGCCTAACAAAAACGAATTTGACATAAAGTTAATAGGATTTGAACCAGTATATTCAAATACAATTCCTTGGAATAAAGGGTCATAGATTTAAACACATTTTTTTTTTAATGTTTTGTATTTAAAACAGGTTATTCAGTAATTATAGGCACTGTGTCTTAATGCTTTTAAGGTTTTTGTTAAAGCTCTTCTTATTGACATTTTGTTGAAATGTGCTCTAATAATCTTGCGTCACTCTGCAGGTGCTAGTAGAATCATGGCCCCAAATCTCAACATGCTGATACTGCTATTGGCCGTCACCACGGTAACGGTTCTGGCCCAGAAGCGGCGCCCGGCATCAAAGCCGAAAGTCACCATGGACGAGTGGAACTTCAGGGATGGCTGTGAGCACACACTTTTCTCTCTGTTCACCCTGGGTCAAAGGTCAAGTTCAGGGCTCAATTTAATGTCATGGTTTCACAGCTAGAGGTGAAGGCAGGTAATTTGTCCTCTGTTATCAATTTGTTGTTTCAAAATTATTCGTTCAAATTAAAGATATAACAAAAATATTTCCATGTTTCTTTACGTCATTTTGGCTCAATTTAAGAAGATTGACTAACTTGGAGCATTAGCATTAAGCTGCTAATGCTAAAATACTTTTATATCTTAGAAGCGAACGGCAGCTTAAAGGATTCAAAGGACTTCCAAGACAGTGGATCTTTTTCATTTGAGTATTTTTCAGTTTCAGATTTAGCAGGACGAATGAATTCAGTGGGATCTGACTCAGAATTATGAGCCTTTTTTTCGGGTCACCAAAGTGTGTTTTCTTGTCTCAGCTGATAAGGTGAACATGCGCGGCATTGCTAACCTGACTCAGATCCTTGACGATTGGAGGTTCGATATCCTGAGCCAGATGAGAGGACTCCTGCAGAACGACCACCAGTCTGTGCTGCCCGACTATGCCAGGTACGAGAATGTGTTATATTATATAATTTATTTCTCTTTAGATGTAGTTTTGGTAGAACTATTTGTATTTCCTATAAAGTTTCTGCGTATACGTTTAACTTACATGAACGGATTTTCCTTTGACGGATGGGTAGGATTTCTTAGTTTTGGTAAGCAAACACAACTTTTAACCTTCTACCTCCCTCTCTCAACAACAGCAGAAGCCAAGCCTTCCCATTAGGTTTCGGGTACCCCATTGGGTAAAAGCCAAGAATCATTCTAGTTTTGGAATATGTTCTTTCAGATTTACATATCCACTTGAGATATATCCTTTACTTGTTGGGAAAAATACAGTTGTTTGGAAGAAACGTTTTCACAGCAATATGTAAAAGATAAGAATGTAGTTTGATCTTTGTCATAATTGAGACACACTAATGTAAGCTTCGATTTGAATCTGTCCCACGGCTATTACAAATATCAGTTTTCAGGAAAGTTTCGCTGAGTCATCAAAGTAACCTATTAAAATCTGTGTTCAACAGAATTCATCAAATTCAGAGGATCATATCCAAATGTATTAATGCCAAAGACAGTGCAAAGAAGTTCAAATATGCAAAAAATGAAAAGGACAAAAAACTGAAATGAGTGTAAATGAAAATGTGAGAGAAGCAAAGCTGCGTACAAAGGCCAAATGAAAAGATAGGAAGTTCGAGAATATCCTATAAAACGTGCTGCTCCATCACTGTTTATGTAGCTATTGCACCATAATGAAGTCTGATCCTCTAAACTGTGGCGAGCTGCAGGAAACACCCTACTGCCTCGGTGGAAAACTCCTGGGTTTCTTATGGCGCCATCGGCCACAGAGTGTACTGGACAGAATGTATTTCAGCCTGAAGGATAAACCACGTTCCTGTGGGGACTCGCAACTGTTTTATTTCACTCATGTGGAATATTCTGCTCATTCAAGACACACAGGAGGATGGAGATGTGCTGTGCTCAGTCAATTTTAAAACCAGTTGTTGAACTAAACTTTAACCAGTGATGAAAGACGTAGTGCGATCCATTCCTGCAGAATTGTTTTCTTCTAAATACTCCATTAAAAGTTACTTATTATTATGAATAATTATTATTAATCTTACTAAGAGTTATTAAAAGTGGATTTTTCTTGGATAGGATACTTTTAAAATGTGGATTTGTTGTTTTTATTGTGTTTAAATAACGATAGATCAATAAGTACACAGTCTGTTCGGGATGTGCGTGTGCCTGCTTTTAAAATAAGTCTATAAACGTGTTTATGGCCGCAATACTACATCATGAGTGCAAAGCTCCCTTAAAATTGTACGGCTCGACGAACATGTGAGGGCTGCGTTGTCTCGTTCTCCCACGACTTTACTTTCTACATTTAATTTAAAACCACCGAAGTTGAGTTAAACCCGTATTGTGTGAACATAATTTGGAATATAGATCAGAAAAAGCCGATGTGATGCCGAAATCTGCATTGAAAACGGAGACGAAACAGGCAAAAAAGACCGAAACTTCTGTCTCGGACATGGCTAGCATAATTAGCCTGCTTGAAGAGCACAGAGCTAGCTCAGAGCGAGCACAGAGGGAGCACAGAGCTAGCATTTCAGCTTACTTCAAAGCTGCCTTTGCGGTACTGGAGGCGAAGCTGAACCAAACGCAGACCACAGTAGCAGAACATGGGGAACAAATAGACTCTCTTGAGACCAATGCCAATCTGCAAGATCAGCGACTCCGTA